ATGTGGCTCTATTGATGGCTGCATCTGGCTCGCAGACAAATGTTCTATTATAAAAAAAAGTCGCATTAATGGTAATAAATACTCATTATTGATTAGCAACAACATAACAATGTTATTAAAAAGAATTCAGAGACATAGTTATTGCCTTTTTAGTGTTGAAATTACACAAAATGCACACATTTTCTTGAATTTTCAGTTTGAAAACATAATGTATGGCGCTCACATAATTACTTTTCAAAATATGTGGTGTCCATGGCTCTCTCAGACCAAAAGGTTCCCGACCCCTGCTATAGATCATCGTTTATTCAAATTCAGCATGACTTAAGGTTATACATGAACATAAAGGGCAAGCTCAAGATGCCGGCCACTGTAGCAGTTGCCCGGGGCGCCATTAACTATCTTCCAAGATAGGAAAAATCATTGCATGGGGGCGCCATAGAAGAAAAATTGTTAGTGCAATAAAATTATTTCTTGATCTAAAGGCTAGGAAAAAAGTAGGCACATTGTTCATACTGCCCACGGTAGGCTCATTGTTCATACTGCCCATGGCAGGAACATTGTTCGTACTGCCCATGGTAGGAGCATAGTTTCAATAAAATTATTTCTTGATCTAAAGGCTAGGAAAAAAGTAGGCACATTGTTCATACTGCCCACGGTAGGCTCATTGTTCATACTGCCCATGGCAGGAACATTGTTCGTACTGCCCATGGTATGAGCATAGTTCATACTCCTCATGGTAGGCACATTGTTCATACTTCAAACGGTAGGCACATTGTTCATACTGCCCATGTCAGGCATATTGTTCATACTTCCCCTGGTAGGCACATTGTTCATACTGCAAACGGGAGGCACATTGTTCATACTGCCCATGTCAGGCATATTGTTCATACTTCCCATGGTAGGCACATTGTTCATACTGCAAACGGTAGGCACATTGTTCGCACTGTCGAAATACAAGTTAAGAAAAACAATATCATTGTTCGTTGTTTGTTTACAAACACAACCTAGGTCATAAACTCGGTACCTAATCCCCATTTTTTTTCTTGTTTTAGCCAAATGTTTATGATTGCACTTAAAAGGTGCACCACAGTTAATCTTGCCCGGGGCACCAGCAGTGATTGGGCCGCCCATGGTACATATTCTCGCGGTCTGCTGGAAGTGAGATCTCTCATTCACACGGTAGCAGACGTCTGCTGAGATGGCACACATCGGAATCATCGCGACCAAGCCAATGATTTGTACGCAGCCCTCAAGGTCGGCATTGCTGCTTTCATGAACCTCAGGGCCGAGACATCCGTGACGTTGGTGTTTGGAAAATATCGATAGTGGTGTAGTGCGGCCAGGGACCTGACCAAGCCAATGATTTGTACGCAGCCCTCAAGGTCGGCATTGCTGCTTTCATGAACCTCAGGGCCGAGACATCCGTGACGTTGGTGTTTGGAAAATATCGATAGTGGTGTAGTGCGGCCAGGGACCGACTCACAACGGCTGTCCCGGCTGATGTCCTCTGCACGTCCACGGAGTGGATCCCCGCTTGGATGACCGATTCCGGTCTAACGATGGCTTTGCTTCTCTCAAAGAGATTGAAGATGTTTCCGTCTCTTAAGGTGTGAATAAATGGAAATACGCCGTGCTTGGTCAGAAATGCCTCCTCGTCTGCTGTCATCGAGGCGTCTCTTTTGATGGATCCCCAGAGTTTATCAGACGTGTTGTAGTAGAATGAGCTCTGGAAAATAAAGGAACCAACATTTTTTATATTTCTTGCCTTCGTCCCATTTTTGAAGTAATCGTCTTCTGCGGCCCTGAGGACTTCCGCCCAAGAACCGTGAACTTCCGGAATGATGTACTCGTCCGTGTCGTGGATGACGACAAATTGGGACGCGTGTCTGTTCCTGTACACGCAGTCGTTGATGGCCAGGAGCTGACCGTGGTACCAAACCCCCGAAGCCGGAAGTCGCCAGGGCATGACGGTGAGGAGTCCGAGTCTCTGGTAGTGACGCAGCACGGCGTCCGTCGTGTTGGAGACGCTGAGGTTGTACACGTAGAAATGCTGGGCCCCGAGCACTCGGTTGATTTCAAAAGAATTGATGATTTGTTTCGGATTGTTGAAGTTGAACAATGCAGCGTGGCACACGGTGAAATTTCGCTGAAAAGGTTTAGGGTAGAGGACGCGAATTCTGTTGGTAGGCTCGTCGGTCAAGTTGAAGGTCAGGGACACAGACGAGGGTTTCGATTTCTCTCTCAAGACACAGGTGAAGATGGCGACGCTATCGCTGCGAAGAAAGTAAAATAAAACAAAGTAACTGATTTATGTCTGCTTAACAATAATAATTGGTAAGCGTCAGTTGACACGATCAAATTAGCTTCAAATTTCGTGTCAAATTTGTGTACATGAACGCACTATTTTGTGCGTGGTTTCTTTTTTTTTGGGGGGGACAAAAATAGGAATTTGATCAAATAGTAATTTGAAAGTTGTGACAAGGCTTCATACAGGACTTGCATCAAATGTGCATGATCGAAAATTTGATCGTGTGAACTGACACTAGTTCGAAACTTTGGGCTGTCGATTATCATCAAACTGTAACCATCAGTTTAAAACTAACCTAACTTGGCATGTTCACTGGCTTTTACTTGAGTTGTAAATCAACGTGCCATAAGCCGTCAAAAATAACGAGGTCAAAATCAATTAAAAGTCTTTCTTATTTAAAATAAATCTTGACGAAAGGGACACAATTTTCAAAAATAGATTTATATTTGTAACATTCGTATAACGGTCACTATGAGCTTTATCATATGTTAAAAATTACGACTTTTAATAAATTGATCTATTTTTTAAATTTTTTTTTTAGGTTTCATCTCAACATAATTTATATTTCTCAACGAACTGAGAAATATTCTAACAGCGACCCGTTAAGAAATGACGGATAATTTGAGATATTGAATAAATTAAATTATAATTTTACAACCAACAGAAATCTGCAGACGGTTAAATTGAGTCAATACACAAACACTTATCCCGGTAATGATATTCTTCAATGTCACATCAGTGCACTGATTGGCGAAAAATGAGCATACAGATAACTTTTTAAATGACCAGCATTTAAGATGTTTAAAATAAAAAAAATCATGAGATTGCATCTATCGTGAGAAGATGTTCCCCATCATGTTCTCTTAAAAACATAAAATACACTCATCCCAGAAACCCGTTTGACTGCATGTAATATGTGCTACTGTTAGTGTCAGATATTTTTGGGCCCGTCCATCCCAAGCACACGACGGTTGGGAGGTGGGGGGGGAGAGGGTATCTAAGAAAGTGTTACGGTCTGTGTCACACATTTTGTTTTATCCCGTTACATTTAAAACATGAAACTGCCTGTGGTGCTTGACTGGCTGTTGTTGGTGATGTATGATGTATTCTAGCAACAAAAAATGTCGATTTTATATCAGTTTCATAGTGAAGTGTGTTTGAGGTTGAATTAAAACGAGGTGTTAAATTTAGGGAAAAAAAGGGAGAGGGAATTCCTAGATTTTTGACAGATTTCGACCCCAAGAAAAGCATGACGTACTTTATAGACGGCCCCACTTTTACTTGCATTTAGCAGCAACGCGACCACAAACCCGTTGTAGTCGAGTCTTCGACGTCAAGTTTCTGGAAAATTACTTCCAAGATTAGAATGAAATAGTCTAGTAGAACATGGTATGGTGAAGCTAGAATCAAAAGGGAACCACCGAACGGGACAACTATAACTACAACATGCTGGTACATTATCTCCATATGGTATTAACCAAATACGCTCCTACTGATGTTTCTCAATGTACCTGCATTTCTTCTTCTTTTTTCTTATTCCCTAGACTTTAATTATCCTTAAATATAAATGCTGGACCACATTTTTCACAGTACCAATATTTATATTCTTTCACTTCCTGTAATCCAGATCAGATCATGAGTGCTAAAGGAAGTAGCAGTTATATTTGGGGCTTTCCAACCTAAGAGTCTACTATCAGCAAGTGAAGAATTGTTGGTGTCGGTTACAAATATTTCACCTTTTTCTATGATGAGTTATCAGAAGATTAACTTTTCAAAGAAATACCAAGGCTTAGAAGACCCCTAAAGGCTGCTGATATTAAATTTTACAAAGTCGTGGACTGGTCGATATTTGATGGTTTGAAATTCATAGCTGAATGGGAATATCTTGGAATACTCTCGCTAAGCCTTCAATTGTTTCTTACGAGCTGTGTGTCTGTGGCCTCATTGAGCGCAGCTTTTCAAAACTAAAGCTTATCAAGAACTATTTACGTTCCACCATGGGACAGTCAAAACTTTCTGAACTGACTCTACTATCAATTGAAAGTGAAATGGTTAAAGTATTGGATTGACATGTTTGCAGCTTTAAGGACAAGGAACGGGAAATTTTAAATAAAGTAAATTTAATGTAAAAATAACTAAGACTTAACGTTTTTTTAAAGTTCTTTTAAATACATTGATATCCTGACCTTCAGTTAATTTTATTTCGTTCTTGTCCATGTTCTACTGTAGACTTATTTTAACACGAAGAAATCAATCGTGGAAGTCAGGGGGGAAAGGGGGTGACACCATGACTTTACCGCACCGGGTGACACCAACCGTAGCTGCGCCACTGCTCTAAGCCGAAACGTTCACATCCTATTGCCCTGTCTTTTGATTCAAGCTTCTACATACCTTTTTCTTGTACCATTTCACTCGCATACCTTGCATTCCGTCTTTCAATTAGTGTCACGATGAGAGCATGTCAAAATATATTCACGGGCTACTATACCATAATACTTCTTTGTGTTAACACATCTTTTTACTTGATGTCAAAGACAGCAAATATGTTTTCCTGCTTGCCCTGAACGCTGAATGTCTTCCCCTGTTCCGTCACGTGACAGTAGATTCCGATAGTGTCCAGCTCTTTCTTGCCGATTCCTAAAATGCGTAGGACGGGGGCCGTTTCATTGAAGCCGTCGTAGTGTGCAGAGTACACCCAGACTCCATTGTCATTGACGTTTTGAAACTGTGCGTCTAAATCCAGAGCCCTTGAGTCGTCGCTGCTGCTTCTTGCGTTTCCTGTAAGACTAGTGAGACAAAAAGGTAAGTTGTACGTTGATGGGAAAATGACGTATACAAACTGATTGGCGAAACTTCAATGTCAATGGACTGATAAAGAAAGCTTAGTATTATCACACAAACTAAACATCCTTCACTTGAACAACTATGTGAACAAAAATACTGTAGTAAAACAAAGTTTAAAAAAGTCTTGGGTTGATACATCCCACCAGTTCATCATAGATACCTAAGATACGCTCGATCAGAGCGAATTCTTTATCTTAAAGTTAACACCGAAAGAGACACAATTCTTGTGTTCCCCATTCTGTACTAATTTACCAGCGTGCTCCCGCAGCTGCGACTAAATCCAAGTGATCCCTAATTAAATCCTTATTGTCCTTAAGGGCTTAAGGGAGTTCATTAAGGGCCCATTTCAACGTTAGAAAAAATTCTTTAGATGTCTCGTGTGTAAACTTTTAAAATTTTGAAATTTTGTCTTGGTTAAAACATGTAGATATTGATGTGACGAAAATGAAAATGAACAATGTAATAAAAAAAAACATTCCTATTTATTGTATCAAAAAGCTTATCTTAACTTATCTTGGTAACGCGATGTTAGGTTATTGTGATAGCATCTGATTTTTAAAATCAATCCAATGATATTAACATTCTATGGTTTAAAAAAAAAAAAAGAAAAAAACATTTAACAAAAGGATTTTTGATATTGTTACTATCGTTAAATTTTTAGTGGGTAAAATTATATATATATATTTCATTTACNGGTGGGGGTGGGGGGGTGAGGGAATGGATCCAGAAGATTTTCCTTTATAGTTTCTACTGCTTAAAGTTAGGTATATTGGCTGAGCTACAACCGTTTTTGACATCATTGAGCCTATTAAAAGCTTACAATATTACTATGTCACTGCTAGAAACAGGTGTTTCAGACATATTCGTTGGTTAACTGTGAGAAAAGTTGGTTAACTCAAAATAGTTGATTAACTGAGAATTGTTGGTTAACTAAGAATTGTTTGTTAACTCAGTATTGTTGTAGAATTGTTGTTTAACTCAGAAACGTTGGTTAACTCAGAATAGTTGGTTAACTCAGAATTGTTGGTTAACTAAGAATAGTTGGTTAACTCAGAATTGTTGGTTAACTAAGAATAGTTGGTTACTCGGAATTGTTGGTTAACTCAGACTAGTTGGTTAACTCGGCATTTTGGTTAAAAAGGAAAATATGTAAATAAGAATTGATGGTTAATTAAGAGTTGATAATTTTTTTTTAAAAATGATGTCTAACTAACAATTGATGTTCAACTAAGAAATGTTTTTATTAAGAATAGGTGTTTAACAAAGAATTGATATCTAACTAAGAATTGGTTTTTATCTAAAAATTGTTTGTTAAATAAATTAGAACATTATAAAAAGTACGTGTTCATTTAAAAATAAGAATACCTACCTGAAATTCGGCTGTGGTGTCCGCGCCTCTCCTCGGTCTGGGACATCTGTGTTTAATGAAGTGTTCTCTGTCATTGGTTGATGAGAGATAATTTTTGCCAGCCGGCTCATTGGATGCATTGTGTTAAAGGTTATGGAAGTTCTAGGAAACAAATAAATTGTCGTGAGCACCATGGAGGTCGCGATGAGCCCGAACAGACTTTGTTTGAGTGAGGGGCAAGAGAAGGAAATCTGGCTGAGCTTCATCTTGACGTGCATTGCTCCGGAGAATCCTTAAAAATTAATGGAAATGAACTCAGAAGATTTACAACTACTTAAATTTTTTAATGAAACATTGAAAATTGCATTTTGTTTATTTCAGAACTCGCAAAATCAATCTGGGACTTCCTACGAT